TGCTAGAAACTTTACACAAAGTAATGCCGTAAAGAAATTCAGTAGTAAATTGGCACCCGTATTTATCCCAGCGAAAGTTTATAAGAAACGTAGCTCGTACTACTATGAATTAGAGGATGAGAGAGGAAAGAAATTAGGAGTATTCCATTTGAAGGATATACAAGCTAGAAAACAAGGAGTTTCTTCAGATAAGGCTTCCTTGAAATAGTCTCGTTACCCTTATCTGTGGTGTAGTGACCAACTTAACTTTACACTGCAATAACTCTTCAAGACACCCTCGCCCTAAATTATAGCAGCTTTTGTGTAAAAGAAAAAGCGAGAGAATTGTCTTAGACCAATCAGAACAGAATATGATCGTACGATTATACAGTTAGGGAAAGAAAAGCTATAACAGCGACCACCAGCATGCAGCTTCCCCAGAGCTTAGATCATTATCGGATAAATCTTCGTGGCGAACGCTCATACATTTTTGACGCTGCCCATTTAACTTCACATACACGTGGAAATATAATTTAGTTATATATATATCCAATCTCATAAAAACAAGAGTTGGTATATTTCAATAAATTTCCGTGTTCGATTCGTGTGAAAGTGGCAACGAGATTCGACCCCAAGGCGTAAGGAAGACCAGGTCTATATAAGAGCATTTGATTGCTCTACAGCGACTCCCCCCCGTTTCGTCGACCCCCGCATCAGCTCATGGTTTAAACCCCGTCGCTCCAAGAAGAGGCCACGAGGCGACATAACCTTCAGCAACAAGTTACGCAACCAGCCACCTGCCGAATGATAACCAGCCAAATGTACTGGAAGGCTAGAGCTCATCCAGATTATTCAGCTATGCAGAATTTTAGACGACCGGAGCAGATTTAATTACATTTGAACATCATCATCGTCACGCAGTGAAGATCATCTCCTATGACCAACGGAGGTCCAACTTTGTGATTTCGTCTTATCGCAGCGCAGCGTAGCAGCCAGCGGTTTCCTAAGGTCTTATCGCTGCAGTGTTGCAGTTATATTTTGTGTTTTGTTTTGATTCTCGATTTTCTTTTGTATTGCGATTTATAATGAATTAAATACTCGCAGATTGACGGAACTTTTGGCATTTGAATAGAAATTTAAATTAGAACCTTTAAAGTTTGACCTACAGCTCGACAATGTCAACGTGAACTTGGGCCCAACTTTACGCACATCATGGAGTGGATATTTAAGGTCGTGAGTACTACAAAACATCAATGATAAAAATCTTATTATGAATTACCTATATTAAAATTCTAACAAAATGCCACTCGAACGTCTAAATAAAATAAGATCTGCATTTGACTAAAGATTATGTAACTATATTTGCTAATTTTATATTCAATTACTTATATATATTTGCTTTATACTTTACTTTTATATACTTTATTTTACTTACGGAATATAAACAAAAATGAAGAGTTAGAGAACGACTAGGATAATTATGCGTAGATAAAAATATTGTTAGTTTGTAAAAGAGATTTAATGAAACCGTTTATTAAACTGAATTTATATAAATGGAATTATGATTGAAGATATATTGAAAAATAATGAATTGTGAATAAATAGATTTAATGGTTTGTCGAGTGCTTATGTTGAACACTTTCTTGAATATGTGGTAGAGTTATTTTGAACTTGACCAAGGGACAATGTAAATATTTTAAGTAGCATTGTCATGGTAGGGAGGGTAAAGACTTAGGGAATCATTAACATCCGAAATTCCCAATACTTATCAGAATCTGTAGCTTATCTTCACACGTGTCGGCGTGTATCATTAGTATCATTATAAAGCCATATCTTTTGTTAATCGATAATCCAGTTTTGAATATTGTTTATGAGTAAGACGCACTTATTAAAATGTAGTAGCGTTTCGTACTATCCTAAGCTAAAAGAGCCCCGACCTACGGCGAGCTAGACCCGAGCATAGCAAGAGTGCGCATCCCTAGCGAAGGAAGTACAAGGTCCTCTTTATTAGTAATTATCACCCACTATTAAAAGACCCACTAGTTAAAAATCTATCGAACTACGGTACACTACATACTATACATAATTATAAAGGTCTTGACATAACCTACAAAACGACGCTATGCTGATTAGTTTGGATATTGCGTTCAACACTTATAGACGTGTAAACATGGAGTTCACTAACGCCGAAATTCGCGCTATTTTAAAGTATTCCTTCGTTAAAGGCAAATCCGCTAGAGAAACGTTCCGTGAGATTAATGGTGTTTTGGGGGATGGTACTCTATCACTTCGAACCGCGGAGGAATGGTTTCGACGATTCAGAGCCGGTGAAAAGGACACCATGGATAAGCCAGCCGGCGGAAGACCTGTGACGACAATACCGATCAAATCATGGAATACATCGAGTTAGACCGGCATGTGGCATCTCGTGACATCGCCCAGGAGATGGGAGTTAGTCACCAAACCATTTTAAACCATCTGCAGAAGGCTGGATACAAAAAAAAGCTTGATGTTTGGGTGCCGCATGATTTGACGCAAAAAAACCTTCTGGACCGAATCAACGCCTGCGATATGCTGCTGAAACGGAACGAACTCGACCCATTCTTGAAGCGGATGGTGACTGGCGACGAAAAATGGATCACATACGACAATATCAAGCGAAAACGGTCGTGGTCGAAGGCCGGTGAATCGTCCCAAGCAGTGGCCAAGCCGGGATTGACGGCCAGGAAGGTTTTGCTGTGTGTTTGGTGGGATTGGAAGGGAATCATCTACTATGAGCTGCTCCCATATGGCCAGACGCTTAATTATACCATCTACTGCGAACAACTGGACCGCTTGAAGCAGGCGATCGACCAGAAGCGTCCAGAATTGGCCAACAGGAAGGGTGTAGTGTTCCACCAGGACAACGCCAGACCACACACTTCGTTGATGACTCGTCAGTAGCTACGGGAGCTCGGATGGGAGGTTTTATCGCATCCACCATATAGCCCGGACATAGCGCCAAGTGATTACCACCTGTTCCTGTCCATGGCGAATGCCCTTGGTGGTGTAAAGTTGAACTCAAAAGAGGCTTGTGAAAAGTGGCTGTCCGAGTTCTTCGCAAATAAGGAGGGGGGCTTCTACGAGGGAGGTATTATGAAGTTGCCGTCTAGATGGAAACAGATTATCGAACAAAACGGCGCATATTTGAACTAAATCCGATCACTGTAACACTTTTTATAAAGCATTGAATAAAGACCAAAAATGCCAACCTATTATTATTTTTATTTACACTTGCTTATGTGAACATATATGAACAAATCCATACATACATAATACCCTATAAATTGCACAATCCCTACATAAAGGAAATTAAAGAATTGAGAGGAGCAAACGAAAAGTGAAAGACATGAAAAAGAAAGTTACATTCAACAAAAGTTTAGTGAAATTAAGTTAGTGAAACAGAAATAAAAGATTGAATTAAACAAAATTATAGAAATTTAAGAAATAAATAAGAAAAATTAAAAACATGAATTAGGAAAGAAAACAAATCGGTATTAAATAAATTCAATTAAAGTTAGCAACCGGAAATGGAATTAAAATATTGAATGGTTTGAAAATTAAAGAAACAAAAATGAAATAAATAAACTGTAGTTAACGTAATTACATAACGATAAACAGAATTAAATGAAATTAGGTTGACTAAAATTAAATTCTAATTTTTTTACTGTTATCAACTAGACAACATGGCCTTATATACTATATTTTATCTTATTATTAAATGAATCAAATTGTTATAATGTTTGGATAAATAAATATAGTTTTCCTTATGTGAGAAGGCTAAAAGTATAATGAAAGGGTAACACATAAATTAGGGATTTACCATATAGTGCCAGGGGTAAATCGTGGAGGGTGGGTACAGAGGCGGGTTACTATACCATCAGTGTAACCTCATTTAATTTTTTTGTATGCATTAATTATAACTCTTGTTCATCTCCGTAATAGGTCGGGGACTATAAATTAAATTCAATGTGGCTTTCTGATCGAGTAAGGGCTTTATTATTTGGCCAACGGAACCCCCCAATGCCGATTGTAAGCTAGCTGCAACCAGAGTCCCAATGGCCAAAAATTTAGCGAAGATCTCACCACTCAATTATCTATGAATGTTACAAAACAAAGTGGGCGTGCAAAAAATATTTTGGACGGACATGGCCATTTCGGCTCGGCTATTGATCCTGATCAAGAATATATATATTTTATATGGTCGGAAACGCTTCCGTCTACCTGTTACATCAATTTACTATACCCTTTTGCTCTACGGGTAACCTGGGTAACAATAATTAATTTTTTTCTAAGTGCACGCAGCACCTCACACGGGAAACCTGTACACGTGTTAAAGAAGATAAAAAGTGTAATCTAATATTTAGCTAAGTGAAGAACCACTGGAAAAATTGTTGTATATAATATAATATATGTAAGTGCACCACACACGTGAAACCAGCACTTGTGTTGAAGTAGATATAAAAGTATGTAGTAGTAGTTGTAAAATGTAATCTAATATTTAGCTATGTGAAGAACCACAGGAAAAATTTTTGTATATATAGTATAAATCTACACACACGTAGAAATATATATATATATTTACAATTTATGAATCAAGAAGATAAACATACCACCAAAATGGGACATTAATAAAATTTATTAATTCCGAAACAAAGAATTCCACCATAAAATCTACAAAGTTTAATAGGCGCGATAGAATTTCTTGAAAACAAACATGTAAACGACGTGATTGCCCGACCAAAGAGAAGGCAAAGTTTTAGGTTCGAACAGCTTTATTTGCAGACTTCTTTAATGATAGACTCTTACAATCCTCGCCGTTGGATCCGCGGCGTCGCTTCTTCGTCGTCCTTCCCTTGTTCGTCCTTCGATGTCCTGCGGCGTCCTCGACAACGGTCCCGTGCGTAGGTTATGTTGGAGATGTGTCAAGCTGACGCTCTTCCCCGGACCACCTTTGCCGACCACTGACCCTTCTGACCGTGCCCAGTTCTCCACTTGCAGGGACCTATTGAAGTTGTGGATGGAGATAGATTGGTATGCCCCATGGAAGGATTTCTTGTTGTTTTCCTTTTTATTAAGGTGTGCAATTTATATGTGATTTGTGGTTTTGTATCCAGCCTTAAGAATCATACATTTCATTGCTCGAATAATGTTATTTGCATTTGGAATATTTGTGTGTGTGTATATTGCTTTAGTTGTTTTGCGCATATATATATGTACACGTGAAAATAATGATGTGGTACTTGGCCTTAATAAACTTCGGCAGTGACTATCAGCGATTGATTTCACACAAGTACATTACACGTCACTTTTACACGTATGTATGTATGGTTATGTTGCGTATATATTTTTGTTGTATATGTATGTATTGTTGCGATGTAGTACCAGGCCTTTAATATTTCGGCAGTGGTTTATCAGCGATTGATGCCACACAGGTACACTACATTTTCTGCATTTGAAATATTTGTGTGTGTGTATATTGCTTTAGTTGTTTTGCGCATATATATATGTACACGTGAAAATAATGATGTGGTACTTGGCCTTAATAAACTTCGGCAGTGACTTTCAGCGATTGATTTCACACAAGTACATCACACATCATATTTCACGAATACAGCGTATTTGTTATATATATTGTTATATATATAAGTGATTTGTATGTTTGTTAAGGCGGTTTATGTATTGTAGTAGAACTTTTGTTGTGATTACTTTTAGAATTTTTAGACATTTTTGCACTTTTTGTTTTGTTTGAACATATTTTTCATTCTCGCTCTTTTCCCACAACTACTTACAGTAAGGCTAATAAAAGGTTTAATAATGTATTTTCCATTCCAGTTTCCCGGCTGCGCCAGTTACCTCCGGGGAGCTTCGTGAGGTATTGTAATGCGGAAGACGGGGGGTTGTGAGGAGGAATACGATCAGTAATTTGTTGCGAGAATCAGTGATTTATTTCGAGATTTTAACATGGATATGTCCACAAGTTCTTGGTGCTCAACATCGACTGATCGTCGCATTTTCCTTTCGTCTTAAATAAGCTAATAGTGAATATGTATGTATGTGTTACAATGTTAAGGTTCTTAGAAATAAAGTATCTGACACAGCAGAAAGTATAAGTATGTTTATAAGTATGTATATGGAATCGTATGCGTTGCCCTGTCTGAGCGAAAAGAATGTGGTGTCAGCTCTCTGGGCGGATGACGGCAGCTGACTCGCCGTTGATGTTTATGTTGCAACTTTGTATCGCAAAGCTTCCCGGTTCGATGTCTTCTATTTGTGTAGGCGAGGTGGTTTAGGGGGAGGGGTGGTGTATAGTACCGATGGATCGGTAACTCGCGCAATGGAGGTAGGAGTTCACATACTTAAAAATTACATCTTCATTAGCAAGACAGAATATCGACGACGCAGCACTCTTTGGATGGAGCATAATTTCTCTTGCGACTAGGAGCTCATTATCTACAAGAACGATGCACACAGCTTTTGATATCGACGCGTCGCTCTGACGCTTTTGCGAGCTGGAGGATTTCAATTTAATTGTGAGGCAGATGTCAATGCAGCTGGGAAATATTTTAGAACGATACACACTCGCGTCTCCAAGGGGCGTTAAATCCTCGAGATCATAATTTGTTCAAAGACCATAATCACCCCAGCAGTTTTCTAAAAGCTGATGTATCGCCCAATCTGGGTTGCACTTCTGCACGGTAACATACGGCACGTCCAGCGCATCATTCTTAGATTAGTTAACACACAACCATCAGTCCGAGTTTCCTATTGTATAAAAATTCTTAAATAAGATTTATATGGACGATGTACTCACGGGAGCGTAAGCTGAAGATGAGCTTATTTGCAAGCTGGATGAGCTAGTCCATCTAACGGGACTCTACAGCAAAGATTCTTGGCGTATACTGGGAATCAAAGAAAACTCTGCCAATCCATAAGTTCCGTCGGACGTAGCACGCATCTTTGATCCGCTGGGTAATTAGTTACCCATCATAAGGTAGAGAACATCTTTAATATTCCGGACATAAAAGTAAAGTTATCTTGTTGCACACATAAAGAATTTCGTACAGAGATAAAAACAAGAGAGAATGCTACCGTCGAGTTCCTCTACTTTCCAATTACTTAGCTATTGAAAGTGCAAACGAAAAATTTTAAAATTTGTATGCCATATCAAATGAAAAAAAAAAATAGTAAAATGAAAAAAAAATTAACAATTTTTCAAAAGTGTCAGCGTCGAAGTTTTTGTGCGGCTTGATAGAAATTGACAAGACAAATAATAAAATGACAAAAAATCACAACGTTATTTAAAAGTGTGGGCGAGACAGTCTTTACGGGTTTTAGGCGTTACAGGGGGGAAGGACACATCTGGAAACAAACTGCATGCTTAATCACAACTCCCTAGCTTTTATAGTTCCGGAGATCTCCACAGTTCGACTCTGGTAATGATCCTGATCAAGAATATATATACTTTAAGAAATAAAGAATTGAATACTTTTCAACAAATCTTGTATACCCTTTTACTCTACAAGTAACGGGCATAAAAATAGCTCGTTGGGCAAAGAAGAAACAGAGTCGATCACGCCGTGTTCGTTTAGTGATCCTGATAAAGAAACGTTTTCTTCTACCAGTTACATACTTTTCAACGAACTCAGTATATCCTTTTACTTAACAAGTAACGGATATAAAAATGGAGATACATTGGGCTACTCTACCATCGAATCAAATACATTTGTAGGATGTCTGAAATGCTCGATGCTATACTACGCAACTTATGGCAAGAATCATCATCTTTTTGACCGCAAAGCGAACGCTCATGTTTATTTCTGTGCTCTGAATTTATTTTTTTTTTTGGTTAAAACCAGCTGTCCTATGATTTGTACACAAATTTATCATAATCTACATTCGATTCACAAGTGAATCTATTCTGATTTGTGCACAATTCAAATAAATTTAGTAAATAAAGAAATTTAAATTTATAAATAAATAAATAAATTTATTATTATAAAAAGTGGTAGGCTGCTCAAAGGAATCGCCCTGCAGCCTCCGGCAAGTTATCTACAGGACTCCAAATGTTACTAAGATCGGCAGCTAAAAAGGTTTGCGGGCGTTGAAATGGGCGGGGCAAAAAGTTTTTTTGAAAAATCTATAGAAATTTTAATAATATATTCAAAAATTTAAAAAATTCAAAACATTTTTAAAAATTGTGGGCGTGACAGATTTAAGCGGTTTGTGAGCGTAGAAGTTGTAATGTACAGCCCTTCCAATTGTATTAAAAAAAACGATTTTGTTGAAAAATACGCTTAACTCCTAAAAACGATGAATTTGAATTTGAATATTCGAGAAAATTCGGAGTCATTATCAGCTGACTCTAATGCAACTCTAATCACGGCAACGCTCCAATTAGAGCTTTAAGTTACACAACTAGTTATACAACTATATATATGAAGGTTATAGATACCAGTGCAACTACAAAACAACTATAATTAAAGAATTTATACAAAATGCAACATATATAAATAGTGATGCACAAACTCACATATTACAATACACATTCGTTCACACAGTTACATATTATCAATTAATAATCATTTAACAAAATAATGCAGAATAAAAACTGTAAGTAGCATTAGCATGAGCAAATGGGAAAAAGAAGGAACCAAACAAGGAATTAGTTTAACCGGCCTTTAATTTAAATTTTCATTTTTATTTTTAGTTCTGGCATTGCTAATTTTTTTTGGCGACTGTCAATCATTATTTTTATTAGTTATTATTTTTGTGGGAGGCAAGGCATTTTATTTGTTAATATACCTTACATAGGTATATATAATGTATATGTGCACAAGTGTACATTTTTTAGTCAATTAATTTGGATAATTACATCCCAACAACATTTTCTCTTTGGGGACATATGATGGATTTGGGTAAGTGAATTTATTACATTAGTTTGGCAAATATCTCCCTTCCGCCTTTTTGTCTTTTGAATTTCGGGGCTATGTACAAAGCGCTACAGAGCTCGTATCTGGCAATACTATACATAATTATAAAGGTCTTGACATAACCTACAAAACGACGCTATGCTGATTAGTTTGGATATTGCGTTCAACAGTTATAGACGTGTAAACATTGAGTTCACTAACGCCGAAATTCGCGCTATTTTAAAGTATTCCTTCGTTAAAGGCAAATCCGCTAGAGAAACGTTCCGTGAGATTAATGGTGTTTTGGGGGATGGTACTCTATCACTTCGAACCGCGGAGGAATGGTTTCGACGATTCAGAGCCGGTGAAAACGACACCATGGATAAGCCAGCCGGCGGAAGACCTGTGACGACAATACCGATCAAATCATGGAATACATCGAGTTAGACCGGCATGTGGCATCTCGTGACATCGCCCAGGAGATGGGAGTTAGTCACCAAACCATTTTAAACCATCTGCAGAAGGCTGGATACAAAAAAAAGCTTGATGTTTGGGTGCCGCATGATTTGACGCAAAAAAACCTTCTGGACCGAATCAACGCCTGCGATATGCTGCTGAAACGGAACGAACTCGACCCATTCTTGAAGCGGATGGTGACTGGCGACGAAAAATGGATCACATACGACAATATCAAGCGAAAACGGTCGTGGTCGAAGGCCGGTGAATCGTCCCAAGCAGTGGCCAAGCCGGGATTGACGGCCAAGAAGGTTTTGCTGTGTGTTTGGTGGGATTGGAAGGGAATCATCCACTATGAGCTGCTCCCATATGGCCAGACGCTTAATTATACCATCTACTGCGAACAACTGGACCGCTTGAAGCAGGCGATCGACCAGAAGCGTCCAGAATTGGCCAACAGGAAGGGTGTAGTGTTCCACCAGGACAACGCCAGACCACACACTTCGTTGATGACTCGTCAGTAGCTACGGGAGCTCGGATGGGAGGTTTTATCGCATCCACCATATAGCCCGGACATAGCGCCAAGTGATTACCACCTGTTCCTGTCCATGGCGAATGCCCTTGGTGGTGTAAAGTTGAACTCAAAAGAGGCTTGTGAAAAGTGGCTGTCCGAGTTCTTCGCAAATAAGGAGGGGGGCTTCTACGAGGGAGGTATTATGAAGTTGCCGTCTAGATGGAAACAGATTATCGAACAAAACGGCGCATATTTGAACTAAATCCGATCACTGTAACACTTTTTATAAAGCATTGAATAAAGACCAAAAATGCCAACCTATTATTATTTTTATTTACACTTGCTTATGTGAACATATATGAACAAATCCATACATACATAATACCCTATAAATTGCACAATCCCTACATAAAGGAAATTAAAGAATTGAGAGGAGCAAACGAAAAGTGAAAGACATGAAAAAGAAAGTTACATTCAACAAAAGTTTAGTGAAATTAAGTTAGTGAAACAGAAATAAAAGATAGAATTAAACAAAATTATAGAAATTTAAGAAATAAATAAGAAAAATTAAAAACATGAATTAGGAAAGAAAACAAATCGGTATTAAATAAATTCAATTAAAGTTAGCAACCGGAAATGGAATTAAAATATTGAATGGTTTGAAAATTAAAGAAACAAAAATGAAATAAATAAACTGTAGTTAACGTAATTACATAACGATAAACAGAATTAAATGAAATTAGGTTGACTAAAATTAAATTCTAATTTTTTTACTGTTATCAACTAGACAACATGGCCTTATATACTATATTTTATCTTATTATTAAATGAATCAAATTGTTATAGTGTTTGGATAAATAAATATAGTTTTCCTTATGTGAGAAGGCTAAAAGTATGATGAAAGGGTAACACATAAATTAGGGATTTACCATATAGTGCCAGGGGTAAATCGTGGAGGGTGGGTACAGAGGCGGGTTACTATGGCGACCAGTATGGCGACCGTTTCGGACTCGTCTACCGTCTGTTCGATGAATTCGTCAGCGTCTTCCGCATTTCCTCGACCAAGCCCTCCAGCTTGGTCCCTAGAGCGCTCGCTATGGCGGGAAAATCATCCTTTTTCAGGCTGTAAAGCCACGACTTCCCCATTTTATTCTCTGTTCTTTTGGCCAGGACAATCACGGTTGGGCGCCAGATGTAACGAACTGTTTTTCTTAGTTTTGCTCGCTACGAA